AATATAGGCCCAAGCCAGTCCGACCAGACACTCCCACTGTGAGCAGCTGTGCCCAGCAACTGGAGACCATGGAATCTGCCCAAGTCAGTTCAAACTGGGCTTTAAATTAGGTGAAACTTCTTACCTGACAAAGGAGACTATTACCCTGCCCTCTAGCTGATACTGAGGAATCAATGATTTGATCCCCATAAAAGAGAGTGGGGAATGAAGCAGGAGAGACTCCATCTTGGAGAAGCTCCTCCATTATTAACTGTTAAATTCCTATGACTAGAAAATTGCCTTCTCCTCCTTTGCCTAAGAGCAAACAGAGTGATTAACACTCCTATTGTTTTTAAACCACACTCCAGATATGGAGAGACCCTGAATTCATGAATAACTCAGGGCTGATAGCTGTCTAAGGTTTCTGTCCTCAGAGAAACTTACTGCCCCTCCCAGGAGCTAAAGGGTAACCTGAAAACCTTGGGTGGATTAGTACTTTGAATAGATTAGTACCTTGACTAGATTAGTCTTCCTGCTTCTCTGCCTCCTCCTTTTGACGCTGCATAGGTGGGTTCCCCAATTCTACCATAAAAGACCGTATTCAACCTCCAGTGGTAATCCTCTGTGCCTGCCGATGTAACAAACAGTTCTCCTAATCTCTCCAAGTGCTACTTTCCATTCCTTGGCATCTGGCTTTCTACAATTCTGTTTCCCTGGATATTCCCTCATTTAAATTTTTGCTTAAATGTCATTCTCTCAGTATTTTAATATTTCACTATTCCTTATGCCTCTTGCACTACTTTTTCCTTTTTCAATAAAGTTTATCATTATCTATGACATGAGAGAATTTATCTCTGTTGTCGGTGAGAGATTTTTACTATAGAGCACATGCACTTGTCAGAGAGATAGAGACAGAAAGCAAAAATCACCCCCCACCATGGGGGAAGGCCATGCCTCAATCGCTTCTCTTCCATTCTCTTCTCAGGATCTTGGGCATGCACACACACATGCCTGGTGTGAATTTTAAGCTGCTGGTACAGCAACATAACCATTACGCCATCTGGTGGTCCCAAGAATTTACCTATGTTGTATGCTTATTGTTCACTCTGTTTCTCCCTGTTAGAATGTAAATAAGCTCCAGGAAGACAAAGATGGTGTTTATCAATATAGTATATCTGAACACCCTAGAACAGAGCCTGGTACAAAGTAGGCACTCAAATATTTATTGTTGAGTTACTAGAGATGAACATGAGACAAAAAGAATAAGACATTGGGCTGGCCCCATAGCCTAGTGGTTAAGGGAACTGGATCCCACACCCCTGACCATCATTTGAATCCTGGCCTTCATAGTTTGAATAACATGCCAGGCATGTGTGTGTATGTGTCCCAAATCCTGATAGGATAGAGAAATGGAGAAGGGATTGTGATATGACTGTGTTCTATTGACAGGATGGTGTTTTCTCTCTCTCTCTCTCCTCTCTCTCTCTCTTTGTCTCTTTATCTCTGGCAAGTTTACATGTTCTTTGGCAATTAAGAAAAAAGAGAATTAGATATAAGATCAACTAGATAAAATACATACCCACATACAAATTTCTTGGTTTTTCCCTGCTAGGGAAAAGTCCAAGCTCTATATCAAGACTCAACTGAAAAGTCATTCCCTCTGTGATTTAGAAACTGGTTGCTGCAGCGAGATTGAGCATGGAACAAACTGACCACCTTTGATGAACCAGCTAGGGTAGTTGAACTGGGTCAGTGGACTGTTGCTTACATATGTTTAGATAAGAAAACACTAGTGGACTTGGGAGAACTTTGGGCACTGCTGAACAAGAAGAGCATTAATCCAGGCATGCGGGCATTACAGGATTCCACAATAAGCATCTGAAGCCCTTGGAGAAAACAAACTGCAGAGTAGTTTCTCAGAATGGGTTGGGCACACCCCTGAGCAGCCTGGAAGACTGTCGAAGTCCATTTGCAGTTTGAAGGAAATGAATTTCTACATTTCATCTTTCATCTTAGTCATTCCTGAAATTGGTCTGCTCAAGAATGAACTTGACAAGACAATGCACCTCCTTCCACTGTACAAAAGAAAATGGCATCCCAATTCAAACTAGGGCTCATTGTCCTGAGGTGTTAAAAAACCTCTTTGTGCCAAAGAGAAGGATGTATCAACATACTGGTTTCTAGGAAACACTTTTATAAAGCAATCAAGACATTAATAGAAACAAAATTGCAGATTCATAGGAGGAACAATGTCTAGTGTTACAAAAGCTGTAGGGGAGACTATAGTTAACAGCTTTACCATATACAATGTTACAAATGGTTGAGATGATGGATATGTTAAGTACCCTGTCTTAATCATTACACATTGGATTCATGTACTGAAAAATCACATTGTAACACAATTTTTACAATAATAAAATGATTAAGAATGAGTTGATGGTGTTATTAAGAAACACTTGAGGATGAACAGTTTTTGAAGTCAGAAATTCATGTTTGTAACTGCAAAGTTCAAGATGCTCATTGTTTACATTTTTTTTTCAAAAATAAAAAGTTTAAAAAATGTATAAAAATGGTCATGAGACTGTCATCAGTGTTTTAATCTTTAAATATAAATTGTAATAGGTTAATAGAGTAACCAGTAATATTTGTCCACTGGTCAACGAATGGATAAAGTATTATTTACACATAACAGAATATTATTCAGCCTTAAAAAGGAGGAAAATTCTCACAAATGCTACAACATGGATGAACCTTGCTATGGATATTATGCTGAATGAAATAAGCCACTCTCAAAAAAAGTGTATGATTTTACTGATAAAAGCTACTCAGAGAAAACAAAAATCACAGAGACAAAAGTAGGACCGATGGGTGTCGGGCTGAGAAGAAGAGGAAATCGGAAATTATTTGTTTCATGAAAATTGAGTTTCAGTTTTGCAGAACGAAGAATTCTAGAGATGTTGTGTGATAATTGCACAACAATGTCAATGTACTCAGAATCACGAAAGCATACACTTGCAAAGTGGTAAAGAAGGTTAAAAAGGGTGGTGGGTGGGCCAGCAGGTGGTGTAGTGGTTAAGATGCTGGATCCCATGTGACCAATTTTGTGGTTCTAGTCTCTGCACCCAGCCCAAATGCACACGTCTGTGCATGTATGTGAGTGCATGTATGTGTCCAAAATCCCTAGGAGAACAGAAGAAATTGAAATGCCATTGCCCCGGGGAGTTGGTGGGGGAGCGATTTCTCACTTTTCTCTCTCTCTCTCTCTCTTGTGAGTGCACATGCCCTATGACAACAACAACTTTAAGAAAAGGGGAGTGGGGCGAGTAATTAATGCATTCTGAATTCAGTGCTTTCCTTCTAATGAGAGATTTTGCAAAATAGGAAGCTGGGCTTTAGAAAAGACATTCGAGGGACCAGCAGATGGTGTGACGGTTATGCCATTCGACTCCCACGTAGTTGACCGCAGTTCACGTCTGGGACAGGATGATTAAAACTCACACAGGGCATGTGCATGCCCAAAATCCCAAGAGGAGAATGTAGGAGTAGGGATTGCAGTGTGGCCATCCCCCTAGGGGTGTGATTTCTCACTTTCTGTCGCTCTCTGTCTCTCTGGCAAGCACCCACGTCTTATAGCAAAAGTCTCTAAAAAGTAAAAAAGATATTTCAGGGGCATAATGGTTCTTGCCTTATGGCAAAGACTACTGAAGGCTGGAGGGTTGCAGCATCAAGTCCATCTCTCTCTCTCTCTGTCTCTCTCAACACACTTGATTAGGAAAAGAAAAAAGAAAAGAAAAGAAAAGAAAAGAAAAGAAAAGAAAAGAAAAGAAAAGAAAAGAAAAAAGAAATTCAAAAGTCTATATAAGATAGTCTAAAATCACAGCAGCCAAAGCAGCATGGATGATTTAAAATGTAAGTCAACAGGCTTTAGAGAACCGATGGATAGGGACCAGCAGTTGGCCTAATGGCTATGTCATTGGACTCCCATGTAGTTGACCTGGTTTGAGGCATGACCATGGGGGGGGGCGGGGTGATTTTTTGCTTTCTGTCTCTGTGTGCCCTATAGCAAAAACCTTTCAAAAAAAAAAAAAACTAATTACAAGCAATCCTGATCTCATTCCATTTTGTGAAAGCTGACTATTTTCTGTTGTTATTCTATGCCCCCTGCCCCCTTCATTTGCCAGGAGGCAAGTATCCTTTTGAGACAGAGGGGGAGAGGGAGCAGGATAAAGCACCCCTAGTGGGCATGGCCACACTTCAGTCCCTTCTCCATTTCTCCAGCTGTGGGGATAACACCCACATGGTATTTTTTAATTAATTTATTTTTTGGAGAGGTTTTTGCTATAGGGCGAGTGAGCTCACCAGAGAGACAGAGAGACATAAAGCGAGAAATCACCCCCCAGGAGGGATGATCACGCCACAATCCCTTCTCCATTTTCCTCTTGGGATCTTGGGCACGCTCGCACATGCCTGGCGTGAGTTTAAGCCACCGGGTCCGGGACACGAACCGCGGTAGATTACATGGGAGTCCAGCGACATAGCCATTACTAACTGCTGGTCCCACCCCACGTGTTTTTCAAGCCTTCTGGGTGGGGCTTCTAATGGCCAGGTCAGTCAGATGAGATCCAGTTGCCCTAATGGCCAGACCAGCTAGCTGGGCCCACTGTTAATAATTTATTAAAAGGATTAGCAGATGGAGTAGTAGCTGGACTCTGAAAACAGACTGTGGTTCGAGTCCTGGATTCAGCACCTTAAACTCATGCCAGGCACGTATACCTGGTGCCTAAAATCCTGAGAGAATGGAGGAGAATAGATGGCAGCGTGGTCATCCCCCTTGAGGAGTGATTTCTCACTTTCTGTCTGTCTCTCCCAGAAACGCATGAGCCTTACAGCAACACATCTCTTAAAAAAAAAAAAAAAAAAAAGTATTAAAAACCCTTGTATTTGAACTTAGATTGAAAAAGTCTCTCTGTCAGCTTCAAATGTGATGTAAGGTTATGTAATTTACCAAAATAGCTTTGGGCCATATGCTAGCAGATGCACTTGTCCATCCAAGTCCGCTTTCCCCGGGTGCATTCTGCGTGATCCCCAAGCCAGTGACACCGGTTGCACCAGAAGATCTCCAAGCTGCCGGGCAGCGGTGCCCCGTCCCTTCCTGGAGTGGGTGTGGCACCGCGTGACCTCACAGCGTGGGGTTCTTGGTGAGAACGCTCCAGCCACAGACGTCGTGTTCCCGCGATTTTTAAGTTTCGTTTCCAACCGCGCCAGCTAGTTCCTGCTCCCGCAGCTTCTCCTCCACCCCCGAAGTCCACTCTTCGATCCAGGAGCAGTGACCGCCAGCCATGGACCCTCGGAGCTCAAAGACGACGCCAGCAGCTTCGAAGGCCGAAGCCGCCACCCCCAAGGTTTCCGCGCGAAGTGCGAGGGGTGCCCAGCCCGAGTCCAGCGAGTCTCCAGCTGCTCCCAAGGCCGCCAGGCCCAAAGCGGGGAGCCGCGGCCGCGCCAGAGAGCCGGGGTCCCGGCAGAACAGCATCCGTGGTCCCCAGGAGACGCCCGGGGCCAGCGCGCTGGGGGCCCGTCCCAAGAAAGCGTCTGTGCGCGCCGCCGCTGCGGAGGATCGGCGGGGGCGGGGCGGGGGGGCG